TTACAAATATTTTACTAAATGTTGTAAAAAATGACTCGAAAAAACATGTTTTTGTAAGATTTAGAGCTAAATGTGGAAAAATGTTGCTGTTAATTTTGGCATGTTTCAGTTTACAAACGGCACCCCATACACCACAGCCACGAGCCGCTGCCGGCAAACCAGGAAACGAACACTGCGCATGTTTCATTAAAAACAACAAAAACAATCATTTGTTTGCTTGTTGACGGCAGACTGCTCGGTTTGTTTTATTAAAAAGAGTTTCCGGTGTAACGATGCTCGTCCCCTGACTACCTGTTCAGCATCACGGCAGCGTTAATAAAGTTGTTGGGAGATGCTCTTGTTGCCCTCATTGTTCTGCAGTGATCAGCGAGGATAGTCATCCTACAACCAAAGCAGACACCGGATATTCAATCCACTCAGTGTCTCTACCGCTGACGGAGTGAATCAATTATTTTCAGTTTACTAAACACACATCCAAGATTATTTCAGGAGTGTAAACTGGCTGTTTAGCTCTTTTATCATAAACACTGCAGCAGCTGTTTGCTGTTGTGTCATACTCACAAGAAAACAGATGGATTTTAAAGATGAAATATTCAGTGTTCATTTCCTCTTTAAAAAAAAAACAAAAACAAATGAAGGCACGTCTGTTTCAGCCTCACCAGGCAATCGAACAGCAGTTAATCTGGAATTAGCCAGAAGTTGATCTGTGAGCTAGAAGAAAACAAAGAACAGAGTTTAATCTTCCTGTTAATCAGACCAGCTAATGTGACTTATTTATTCAGCAGTTTTAGAGGGAACAGGTCTCGTGTGGCCATCAAATTCTGACCCTCTGAAGATGGAGGACGGTGAATAAAAGCTGTCTGTGATTCATAAACAGTTAATGCAGAAATGCCTGAAATTAAGTCTGATTTTTAATCTCATGTCAGTTATTTGATTTAAAACGCTGTGTCTTTGTATTTTTCCAGAAATTATGGAGCTGAGTACATGAAGTATTTACACCCCAACCACATCCTCAACTTTCAACCACATTGGGTGGAGCAAAGCAAATAATGTTCTCATCAAAAATAGGTTTTAGGCCGTTAACACCTCTGTCAACATAAATTAAAAAGTTCAGAAAATATGGGACAAAAGTGAAAATGAAAAAAGTCCAATGTCTGTCCCTCCCACATAAAGAAATTCATTGTGATCTCAGTTTTAACATCACAAAAGCGTTTTATCAGCGATGTCTACACTTTTTCTATCCACTGTAAATCATTTTTGGGTTGCATCAGGAAAGACAGCTGATGAAAAACCTGCTAAATCAAACGTGGGGAGCTCCTCGCTGTGGCGGCCTTTTCTGAATAAAGAAAGTGACCGAAAGTAGCTAAGATGAAAGTTGTAAGATTATTCAACAGTGTCCTGATCTTTGATATATGCCATTTTTACACTTTTTTTTCTCAAGGATGAGCATGGAGCCACGTCCAGGAGTAACTGCTGGAGTTAAAGCAGACCTGGAAAACACTGACTTTGGTGCAGCTGCTGCAAGAATTCAAAGAAGATTAAAGCAAAGGAACACGCCGCTAAATGTTGCCAACACAGGAGAGTCGGGTTCTGGGAAATCAACTTTTATTAATGCTTTCAGAGGTATTGGTGATGAAGATCAGGGCGCTGCACCCACTGGTGTTGTGGAAACCACCTCACAGGTTACACCGTACCCCCATCCAAAGTATCCCAGTGTTATCTTGTGGGATCTCCCTGGAATCGGTACTACCAGATTTCCAGCTGATGAGTACCTGAAGCTTGTTGGATTTGAGAGGTTTGACTTCTTCATCATCATCTCAGACCCTCGCTTCAGAGAAAATGATGTAAAACCCGCTCAGGAGATTCAGAGGATGAAGAAAAAGTTCTACTTTCTTCAGTCAAAGGTTGACAAAGATATACGAGCCGAGAAAAGAACCCGGAGAGAGTTCAACATGGAGAGGACACTTTCAACCATCAGGAAGAACTGCAACCAAGGTGAGCTTCTTCTTTTCTTTGTTCTTCTCTGTAGATTAGAGTTATTATATTTGTTTCACCCTAAACATCATTTCCATTTAATAATAATAAAAAATTATTTGAAAGCGCTTTTCAAGACATCCAAGGACACTTGCCACAAAACACATAATAGAACAATGACAACGAAGAAAAATAAGAAAACAAAAGCACAAAACAAACAATAGGTTCACAGTGAATATGCAGATTTGAACAGATGGTTTTGAGTTGAGTTTTAAACTGGGGGAGAGAATCAGTGTTTCTTATATCTGGGGGTAGAGAGCTCCACAGCCTGGGAGCAGAGCAGCTGAAAGCTCTGCTTCCCATGGTGCTGAGACAGAAAGATGGCACAGCAAGCTGGATAGAAGAGGAAGATCGAAGTGAGCGGGTGGAAGAGGTGGTGCTTACTGATGTGAGATTTATCTAGCCTTCGAGCTTTGGCCTTCAATACTCGGAGGTCAGAGGTAAACCAGAGCAGCAGAGCAGAGCGAGCGAAGAAAACAGTGAGTTTTTACAGGAGAATCAAGGACATTGAGTAAACAATAATTATAATACAACAACAGATCATCAGGGGTAGAATAGAGGTCTGGAATCTGAATATTGTCCAATCTGGTAGTGAGAATGTCAATATCAATGGACATTTACAATTTAGTTATATGTATCAGGTGTAGTGATGCAGCGTGAAGAGAAGGATCACATCAATAATCACATAATAACTCGCTGTATGAGTAGATTGCTCTTACAATGGAGCTAACTGAATACAACAATATATAAGCACATATTTCACATGCTATATGGTTCATTTCTCCCATGTAGACAGTTTAATTACTATAAAAGCAAGATGTAGATGAATAAATCTAATCTAATCCTCCCCCTAACATTGACCATGAACACCACAGCTGCTCTGCACCAGTCCACAAAAGTGCATCACTGTAAACGTCACCACAGTTCTGCATACTAATGACTAAACTGTATTTTCATGCAACCTTTGATTAACAAAGATATTTTATATTTCAGTTAGTTTTGCAAGATGTTTCACAAAAACATCACTGGTGACCCTGCAGCCTCTGAGTAGATGCACCGATGGAATAAATGTGAAAGTCCCAGCTGACTTCCTTCTTGTGTTATCATCTTTACAAGATTTTTAGAAAGGTTGACCTCTAACCTTCAGCTTGAGGTTAAGGTCACTGAGATCTGTACTCGTCTGAGGGTTTTACTAAATGCGTCTATGGTGTCCATCTGAAAATCCAACGTCACGTTCTCACCGAGATGACGACAATCCGCTATCCGCCTTTCACAGCTGAGGGGTGAAAGGATGTGTTGGTGTAAGCAAGCCGTGGCATCAATTACTGAGACAGTTTCTCCGAACATTACCAGAAGTTACACCAGGATGCAGCACACAAAGAAATCCACAGTCAGATGTGTTAGTCTGCATTTCTCATTTAATCTTCACACGGTGTTTCTTCAGTGACGCAGGACTCAGAGATTTGGGCATCGAGTCTGCACAGGTGTTCCTGGTGTCCAGCTTTGAGCTCCACCGGTACGACTTCCCTCTGTTACATGAGACCTTAGAGAGAGAACTTCCTGAACACCAGAGAGATGTTCTGCTGTTTGGTATATGCAACATCATCAGGAGGAAGAAAGAAGTTTTTCAGGCTGAAATAACACTCTATGCTACTCTGTCTGCAGCTGTACGTACAGCTCCTCTGGGGATTTCTTCTGTTCTTGACAGCACCTTAAAGGCTGCTGTCACAGGTTATGTAGCTGGGTTTGGTCTTG